CCTAGGACAAAACTCTGTTTTTGATACATTTTATCTGTTTTAAATAAAGGTATGCTCATGCATTAAATTGGAGGAAACAAATTAATCTATATTGTGAAGTTGCCAGCTGCTTAACTCTTTAGGAGTTAATTAAAATAGTTTCAACTTTTTCATATTAGTACAGTTTAAACAGTGACAAATGTTGATGAAATTAAGAGCCTGCTATTTTATTTGTGACAATGGTTACATGTCTGGTTCATTGCAAGCAATGAACAACTTCTGATACTTGTTAATTGCTCTTTAGGCAATATTCATTACACATGCTGTGCAAAAGGAATGTTAGAGCAACTTACCATGAGATACGAAAAGAAGTAGGCTGTTTTACCAGGAATAGAAGAATTCCAAGTGGTTTAGATCTTCAAAAGACTTTAAAGACTTCTTCGAACATCTCTGGGAAGTTCATATTTGACAAAACAATTTAGAAACAGAACAGTTGCTGGAGAAAGAATTTAACAACAAAAACATAAATATTTGTATACTATGGATAAGAAATTTAATAATTGAGAGTAGCTACATACTTAAACATCTCTTAGTGCTTGCAGACTTGAAATTAAATATTCTTACCGTGTTTTGCTACGTGCTGAAAATACAATTTTGGGTTTTAAGTAATAATCTACTTTGCTGACTGTAAAGTTGTGATTCTGACTGTAAGTTGCAATGACTTACTCTAAAACTTAAATGTAAGTTGCAATGACTTACTCTAAAACTTAAAACCAGGATGTCTCTCCCTTGCTATATAGCAGTTGAGACTGCCAATCTGTGGATTGTTAGAAGCTGGAAAATTCATAAAAAAACTACAGAACCCTGTCTGCTTGGCATACTTTCTGCAGAGTCTTTCACGTATCATAGGTATTTGCTCTGTAGGCAGTATTTCTAGATACATTGCAAGCTGTACAGGTGGGTGTATACATATTGTCTGTGTCAGGATTACCACTAAGTTGCCTGACTGGTATTCCTGTCAAATAAGCAAACCTTCATTCACAACAGCCTGGTTTTTCATACATAGCTAAAAAAAAAAATAAAAAAAAAATCAATGCTAATGTTTCCTCCAGTAACATTTTCAGTCTCATTGGAAACAAACAGTTGTTACTAACTGCAGACACAAAATGCTGCACTACGTGCACAAGCAGTAATCCTCAGAGCTGTACAAAGGCTCAGCAGTGCCACTGCCTGCAGGCTGACCGAAATCTCAGTTGACATTTCTTAACTGTTATTTCTGCTGTATTCCAACAGGCTCTAATTGTTGATTCAGAGCCTGGGCAATATCCATAGTCTGTTCTTGCATACTTATTACATTCTTTGTCTACACATTTCCAGAAATCTGAGAAGTGCAAAGGCCCATGACACCATAAGCAATTAATCAGCCTATCTTCAGGTGAGCCTACATGCCACTGAAACTGTATTCTCTCACAGACCATGCCAAAATTGGACTTAATGATAACTTGTTAAAAAGGGAAATGCCTGATTAGGCTTAGGATGTTCCATCACTACAAGTTTGTGATGTTTTCACACCTCCTCCATCGTATTTGGTGATTATGCTTGCATAAAATATTCTCCTCAAAGTAGAGATGCTAGCTGCCTAGCAAATAGTTTGCCCCTTCATTGCTTTTGAGCCAAAATAGTATCTTGGACATCATGTCATCTTCAAACAATCCTTTTTCTGCTTTCTATATTAACAGAAATTCTGGGCAGCAGGACTGGTTTTGGAATATTTTGCCAAAAATCTAACAACACAGCTGGAAGTATAGCTCTTCATTTTAATTGTCATTAGTACTATTGGTTTAATCTTTCTTGCCCACATATTTAGTTGAACATTTTGCTCCTATTTGCAATAGGCTAAAATTCATCTCAAATCTCCCAAAATTCTGCAAAAAATAATACTTTGACAAGCATGATCTTGGAGGATCAAATCTTTTTGTCAGTGATAAAATGTGTCTCTTGACACAAAATCCTTTCCTCCATGCAATTTTCTTGTAAGCTTTACCACAGATAGTGGATATTTGGCAGTGTTTGAAAAGCAGTTTGACCTTGTTGCATTATAACTGTGCTTACTGAACTTCGATGAAAATCTGCTTAGTATTATACATATCCCGTCTAAAATTTGATCACACCTCTCAGGTTTTGGGCTGTTCAGGGGCCCTACCACTATGGGTCTGACACCGGGTTTAAAGCCACCTTGGTTTAAATTCATAAGCTTTGTACTGTGTGAGTTACAGGTTGCGTGATGGATTTTGGGAGCTGCCTTTTATCATGCATTAACCTAAAATGTCAGAAAATTTACATCAAACTCACTCAGACATGTTTGGTTTCAGAGTGTCTGGAATGCTCTTCTTTGAGTAGGGCAGTACGTTGACTTGTATCACTTCCTCCTGAAGAATCAGGACACTTCCCACCCGCCTCCTTTGTTTATTTAGCATATGGGATGAAGTCAATGGAACAGAGGATTAATGACATCATAGCATATGGAGCATGCCCTCTCTTCAGGCCTTGGGGTCTCTTAATCTGTATATATACCACTGGGTTTATTCCATTCTGCTCCATTTAGCATTATCCATGCCTGAACTGTGATTGCTGCTATATCCTTTTATAAAAAATATTTCCTATTGAGTAACTGATGTAAAACAATAAAAAATTGGGGGGGGGGGAATCCACTACTGAAAATATGCAAAGTTATTTTTAAGAGTAGAGCGGATACCCAAGGCAGTATCCTGATAGAGAAAATGATGGCAGAAGTTTGTGTGCCCTGAGTGAGGTGGAGCAATGCACAATATGACATAATCTTGCTTTGCTTCTGAGTTCATTACTGTAACCTGAAAATTACAATAGCATGCTCACATACTTGGCTCTACCAAAGCTGCTTCTGAAGATGGAATAATTCGGAGTTTGTTTGATGAAGGTAACTTCAGAATCTGCTGGGCCCAGTTAAAGAAAGGATCACTTTAAATATGAAGCTAACTCTCGTGTTCTGGGGCAACTCATCTATATTGTGTGTATTAACATGATATAATCTAAATGCAATTGATTTTCTACTCACAGAAGGAAATATCTGTAAGAAGAGTCCATAATTATAGGTTCTTCAGCTTTCACCATGATTTTGGGGATTTTAAGTCCAGAACTCATAACACGTTTTACGTATTTATTCATAACGTCTTACTTGTACATTGTGTGTGTGTGTGCACATCAGGTTGAAGAAATGCTTACACAAAAGACTGTTCTTCAAACAACTTTTTTATTACTAGCTCTTTGTATTTGCTAAGCAATACAAATTAACTCTATCTGAAATACTATTTCTCCAGATTAAACTGCTATTATTAGCAGTTGTGTAACACAGCTCAGGACATTGCACTTGCAGTGTGATTCATCCAGAAAAGGCTCCCTTTCTGCACTGATTCTGTGTAGATGCATTAACCTTTCCATGTCAATCTGTCTCTAATCAGTCTTAATGTTTAGAACTTTCTATTTAGTGTTCATGGGGTTTTTCCACCATAGTAACCAGAAATCGAAGTACACACCTCATCTTATATAGAACAGGAAGACTTTAAATCAGCTGTTTGGTATATAGTTAAGTGTTATGCCTATTAAAGCAGGGGGACATGAAATGAAAATAAAATATAAATTTGCCCTTCTAGTGTCTTCCCCAAGTCTGCTGTACCAGTGATATCCCTGCCGGCTTTGAACTGAGCTTCTGAGACCAGTGTCTTTGATATGATCCTTGCCTTCTCAGTCATGCTGCTTCCTAGAGGAGTTTATGTCACTGATCTGCTGACAGCCAGATTGCTATTTTTTCTGCAACACTGTACTGAGGGTAGAAGTGACATTATGCCATTTATAGTGGGTTTCCCCGTCCCCTTTTTAAACTATTAATTGCAATGCCAGGGACAAATTATTCTTGGAGACTGAAGAATTGTGATCTAACAGAATTGGATTAATTCCAGCTGGTTTAAAGCACTTTTTTTTCCATTAGCTAGAAGAGGTGATTAGCATGAAGGACCTCCTGAGTTAAATGTCTTTAAAGTTAGTGCTGGTAAACTGAACCATTGTATCTTGTGTTAGGCTATTTTAATGGCTCAATTGTAATCTCAGTCCATAATCTTTTCCTGAAGTAACTGCCCATTTCCCCCCTTCGTTTCAGTACAGCTATTCTGATAAACAAAGCCAGCGTATCTCTTGCCAGCACACTTCTTCATTTCACCTGTATGAATTTCTGATGGGAAGCCTGTTAGATGGACAGTTCAAGGGAAGAGCATTATGAGTATCACAGTGGTTCGTTTCTGAGGTGAGCCCCCATCACTTCCAGCGTGATGTTCCCACCCCACACAACAGTGGTGTCCGCAACGCTCTTTCATTTATTCGTTTTGCTGTAACTTACTGAAGACATTTAAGAACTGAGAACTAATTAGGAACTTCTTGAGCGCCGTTTCCTCAGTTCTGGAGAATCTTTTCTTAAACAAGCACACTTCAGCTAACGTGCAGAGGAAAATATGCCGGGAGAAGCACCTGGGCTGCGCCTTCTCAGAAGGAGATACACTGGTGAGGAAGCACCGCTTTTTCTCTTCCACATCTCTATTCGGACCCCACCTCTGGCGCACAAGACGGCGGTGGGCACCACGGATCCGGAATGCTCCGCCTCAGCCGGGAGCGACGGGAGCGCAGCGCCCTCTCCCGACATGGCCGCCGTGAGGACGGCTGTTCGGAGCCCTCGCGCCGGTCCCGGAGGCGGCTCCCTCGGCGCTGCCGAGCTGTTCCGTAGCCGCCGGCCATCTGTGTAATTTGTACACTTTACTTTTTACTATTCTCTTTCATTTTTCAATACAGGCAGTGGGAAACCTGGAGACCGGCCCCGCAAATGGTCCTCCACCTCCCCAGGGGGCGCGGCGGCCGCCTGGTCACAGCCCCGCTCTTGGCACCGACGCCTCGCCCAGTGCATGCACGTTGCTTACTACTACCGTGTCAAGCTGAGGTTCCTGTTCCGGGAGGGGCGGCGGCGGTGGCGGCAGCATGGACCGGGAGCTGCTGCGTCAGGTGCTCAACTACCATGGTCCTGAGCTGCTTTCGCTGCTCCGCGCCGAGCAGCAGGACAACCCTGACTTCCGCGGGCTGCTGCCGCCGCCGGGGACCGTCTTCGAACAGCCACGCGGCGCCCCGCAACCGTCGGCAGCCTGGTAAGAGGCGCCGGCGCGGTGCGGATGGGGGAGCGAGCTGTGAGGTGCCGCGGGGTTGTCCTCACGGGGTTGTCCTCACGGGGTTGTCCTCACGGGGTTGTCCTCACGGGGTTGTCCTCACGGGGTTGTTCTCACGGGGTTGTTCTCATGGGGTTCTCCTTCCCCCAGCAAAAAGAGGACGAGCCTTGACACCGAGATAAAGCGCTTCATTGCCAAAAAAGCTGATCTCCTTTTTGCCCACGCGTGGAGACCCAGCGGGCCTCTCTCCGAAACGATTGAAGAAAATGAAGGTAAGCGGGCTCACGGGAACGGTGCTGGGTGTGTGGGTGCCCTGCACTGAAATCGGCATTGCTGAAAACAGGGGGGCAGTTTTTGTTGTGCTTTTCATAGGGTGCACACAAACAGCCTGTTACAGATAAGCTAAATTTTGCATGTTTAAAAAATGCGATTTTAACATGTGAAGCGTTTTATGTTCTCAGGTTGTAGCTTAGTTGTTTCACAACTGTGTTGTGTATTGCAGACTATTACGCTGTTATGCCACCCCTGGAACGGTTCATGGAGGTTCCCAAGGAAGAGAGGAGAGGATTATTTTTTCAAGACATTGACCGTGGCGATATCGTGATTGGGAAGATTACTTCTATTCGTGAATTTGGCTTTTTCATGGTGTTGATTTGTCTGGGAAGTCGTTTCATACGGGAAATTTCAGATTTACAGATCACTGTAAGATACAGCTTTGATCGATATTTTATTGTTGATAAATAGTAACTTTTTCATGTACTAGTTGTCTTGTGTTTTTTAGTGGAGTGGTATGTGAAGTGAAAGGTGAAACTGAACTTTGGGATGGTGGGTGGCATTTGAATTTGTGAATAGCTTATGGTGCGTTGCTGAGATATCAAATGCTTCTTTTTATGCCCCATACTTAATGTGTACTACATCTGAGTGGTTTGTAATTTATGGGTGCATAAATTTTTACCTGAACCAAGATGTCCTTTTAACTGTCATGGCTGTGATGTGCATTAAGATTAAATAATCGTATTTTGGCATAATCTTGGGGACTAAAAAAATCTCAACATTTGGGTTTGTTTATGATATTCCTACATTATTCTATTGCAGGCTCTTTGTCCTTTGAGAGATGTGCCTTCTCAAAGCAGCCATGGAGATCCTTTATCTTATTATCAAACTGGAGACCTTATTCGAGGCAAGTAGCTGTAGAACTTGTCAGGAATCTCTTTCAGTTTTTGAGACGTTTCTGTAACTATCTTTCACTGTTTATACAGCTGTCGTCAAGGATGTTGATCGTTACCACCAGAAGCTTGCGGTGTCACTTTACAGCTCTCCTCTTCCACCCCATCTTTGCAAGACAAAACTAGGTGTAATTACTTCTGATGACTTCCCACTACATTATAAGTAAGAACATGCTATTCAGCTGTACTTGCTAGGTATATTCAGCATATTTGAAGAACATTTTTGACAAACTGTTCTTAAAACTTGATGGTTTTTCTGATTTAATCGGATGATTACAGGATTTTTTGCTGTTTTCCTCTATAACATACCTGTTTCTGGATATGTCAAGTGTGGTTGGTCTTTGAGCATCTTTCCCAAAATGTAAGGAAAGCAAAAAGCAGAGTGAGGTGTCTGTCACTATGGGACTGTGTTAGCAAAACACCACAACAAACAAAAAAACCCCCAAAAAACCAAAAGAAACAAGAACTTTGGGAGACTGGAATATGAAGTTTTTAAAATCTAAAAATTACCCTTAGAAAACAGGAAGACACAGCATTCTCTACAATTTTTGTAGAATTTTTTATGTCCTGGAGATACCTAGATGGGTGCCGAAATAGGTTTCAGAAGTTCACTTAGGCTAGAAGATACTAGAGTTGCTAAATTGTACAAAAATACATGCCTGTAAAATGGAACAACTTGTGAGCAGTGATAAATATCAATATAGGCATTTTTATTATATACATAAACATGAAATTGAATATAATATCTGTGAGGTTTTGCTAGTGTACATCAGTGGGTTTTTTGTGGTTTGTGTTTTGGGGTTTTTTTTAAGGCGAAGCATGGAAGTTGCTAATACAGGAGAGACCTTTGAAGAGGTTTTGCATCGTTCCCCAGGATTTGGTAATCCATCATTAGTTGAATATTTAGCAGAAAAACTAGGAATAAATGAATCAAATCCACCATCTTTGCTAAGAAGTCTTCAAATGTAAGTGATTTTTACATTGTTCCTATCCTGTAGCTTTGTGAAGATTATTCTACTCCGTTGAGATAGACCAGACCACTTATACTTAAACCTTTTCCATTTTGATTTGCATGACTGCAGCTTACATGTCCTTAAATATTTAAAAGCAGACTCTTCTAGAGCAAGAAGCTTACATTTGAAATTCTATTGCTCTGAATAAGCAAGACACCTTATGACATACAGTGTTTGATACCAAATGCCTTAGGAATTTATTGCTCAGATCTTGTCATTATCTTTGGATTGAAGTGCAGGACATTTAAGTTTTAGTGTCTTTTGTCAGATGTTTACTCACAGTATTTATTTTAGTAATACATCTGCTTTCGTAAAATAGATTCAAACATACCTAGTGATATATATTAGGTCCAAAGTAGGGGTGAATATGTTTTTGTTGAACGTGCTGCAGGTGTACTAGTTTGATTCAGCACTTCTAGGACAGATTGGGAAAAGCTGGTTTCAGAAATACAAAAGAATGTTCCTGACTGAGGGAGAGCAATAAAGCAATGTATAAATAGTATTTCAGTTTATTTGAACTGCATTACATGTTGTAAGTTTCATTGTGTAGACTCAGAACTTCAACTTGATGGTTTTGTTCGCTTTTTCCTTAAAGTAAAAATTTCAATGAAGAAGATTTTGCCCCTGCCTTGAGGAAAAAGCAGTCTGAATCATGGGCCTTGAAATGGTATGTAATACTTTCTCTTGTCAGAGCTTATCGTTAGTAGGTTACAGGTTATATTTCTTAAAAGAATATACACATTGAACCACTTTTTCCAGCACCTGTGTAGTGATGTAACCAGGAAGAACTTGAAAGTAGCCCTAACTGCTAAATGGGTACACAATAGATAAAGTTTCAAGATTAAGTTCCAAAATATTTGTCAGGTTAAAGTGAGAATTCCCCGGAACATTTGCAATGCGCTGGCCTATTGATGAGATGTGACTGAGATTTTAGGCAATACCAAGTACACAGTTTTCCATTTTTAAATTGGGTGTTGAATCTGTGACTGCTTGTCATGAGATTTGGGCCTGTAGATTTAATCAGCGCACTTGCTATTTCCCTGGCTGCATTCGGAACAGCAGCTCTAGATACATGCTATTGCTTTTAAGCTGTACATGTGTTTGTGAGCATGCTCTACAGGGTGAAGGAGGCAGAACAGAGATTCTTCTTCTCAAAATGTATATCTTTTGTGGAAAAACTTGTTTTGAATCCACCAGGTCCAAAAAAAAAAAACCAAACCAAAACCTGAAACCTCGGAATTTCTGAGTTCTGTGCTTGGAAAGCAGTGGTTTTTGTAAAATAAGAGGTTTGCAACTTTGATTAGTTGCTGAAAAAAACTGCTTGTCATGTTAAATTTTAATTTAAAAAGTTAGTACGAAAAGTTCTGAAATTCATCTCTTGGTTCTCTTCCAATAAAAGAAGCAATCTCTTAGCAGTTGTAGAAGAAAGATTTTACAGCTCATGTTACCTGAACCTTAAGTAGTTGAGTTTGAGATGAGCTGGTTTCAGTGTGTACCATCTATCCATCTTGCCTCATGTCGTTGGTTTAATGGTGATGTTTAACTCTGGATATAATTAAGCTTGTTCCAGTTTAATGGTGGTAGGTCACACCCAGAGTTTTGTGCAGAGAAATGCTTAAGTATTCACTCGATAAATAAAAAACAGTGTACCATAGTAGCGCTGTCTGCAGAAATGCTCTCCATTCTATCACATTAATCTGAAATGCCAGTGTTAAGTACATGATAACCAGATCAAGTTTTTATTACCTGCCACTTGTTTGGAACCATGATTTGTGAGCAGTTAACAGTATGAAATCTCCACAGACTAACTGTACATGATGTTTTCTAAATCCTTTTCTCCAGTGTAAAGGCAGGGGTTGATTATTTTAAGGATGGGCATCATGTGGAAGCCATGAATGAGTACAACAAGGCTTTGGAATTTGATCCAGAGAATGTTGAAGCTTTGGTAGCACGTGGAGCTCTGTAAGTCTGCTTGTTTCACTGGGTTTTCTACTTTGTGAAAGAGAAACAACACTAAAGTCTGCACAACTTGTCTGTTGCTCTAGGTATGCAACAAAAGGAAGTCTGAACAAAGCCATAGGTGACTTTGAAATTGCTTTAGAAAACTGTCCTACCCATAGAAATGCAAGAAAATACCTCTGTCAGACTCTTGTGGAAAGAGGCGGGCAGTAAGTCTGTTTTCATTTGGTTGGTGACAATTTTTCTCATAGAATACTATCCTAGTTAGGACACAGAATGGCATCTTTCCCTCCTGACTGGGTTTAAAAAAAATAAAAAGCTTTTGTTGGAAATACACCTGCTCATGCAGTCAGTTTATACTTTCTCCTCTGATCCAGTTAAAATCCTGGCAAAATATTTGAGGTTTAATCCTTGTTATGCTTTCACTGGTAGGATACCAGGCTGGAAGAGTCTTGTCAAATGTGTGAATACATTCCAATAGGTTTTGGGTTGTTTTTTTTTATTTGTTTGCTTGGCTTTTTTTGGGTTGGTTTGTTTGTTTTGGGGTGGTTTGGGGCTTTTTTTTTTTGCTTTTTTTTTTCTCCTTTTTGGAGGGGCTGGAGGAGATGTGAATGTGGTTTGTTTGGTTCTTTAAGAAAGTATTTGTAACAAATTGTGTTCTTTTACTCTACTGAAATATTGGTTAAACTCTGTAACAAAAGATTTTACTTTGACTATTCAGCAAATAGATTTCTTTCAAGCCCTGTCTTAAGAAGAAACAGACAATATTTTTGAAACTGGAATTGACATGTCCAAGAATAGTATTACCGATGATTTGGAGGTAATTATAGGTCAGAAAATACTGGTTTACTACTTTCAGAGATAATGTGTCAGAAATACTGTTTTACTTTTGTACTGAGGTGGGCTAAGGTGAGTGATATGGTCCTGGAGGGATGCAGTGGTACTGTCATAGTGCAAGTAAGAAAGATAGTCCTAAAAAATAAAAATTAAAAAAAAAAAACAAAACAACAAAATCTGTGGCTTAACTATACTATTATCACTTGAATTTCAGGTTGGAAGAGGAAGACAAACTAGTAAATGCTGAGAGTTATTATAAGAAAGCTTTAAGTTTGGATGAGACTTTTCAGGAAGCAGAAGAGGCCTTAACAAAACTCCGTAAGCATATACAGGTGATTCTTTACTTTCTCTTCATATAGTGCTCTCAGTGACAATAAACATCAAAAATCATATTAGATCTTTTGAACATGGTGAGTTTAAGGTCGTAGTTGGTCTGCTTCCCTTCTTCAAAATAATCTTTTACAGTAAGCATTATGGCTGTACCTATCAGAAGAAGGTACCCCTTGATGACTTCACTCTTTTGAACTGCATAGTAAAGAAATGCCAAATAGTGGAGACAGGGAAAGAGCAAAGCCTGTTAACCCTGTCAGCTAAAGGAAGGATAAGAATATTCCATCATACAAGCATGATTAATACTGTTCAATGATAACATTATGTGAATATAAACAGAGAAAGTGTAAACTTGAGCAAGCCAAATAAACATTTCACACCATCTTACTGGCCAAATCCTTGTCATTTGGAGTAATTGTGAAAATATAGAGTAACATCAGCCAAAGCTAACTCACAGGAAGATCACAGGAAGAGGGGAAAGGAAGACATAATTTAAAGGAAAACAGCAGGAGGTAGAGGGTGGGCAGACAGTTTTGACTGCCCTCTGCTGTCTTGTTTTTGGTTTATTTTCTCACTTGTCGCATGCAGCATGGTTCCCAGGTGAGCCCTGGTGGGTCTCTGCTAATCTGAGTTAAAATTGTTTTATTTACCTCCTTAACTTGTGTTGAATTTCACAGAGGATCAAAGAGTAAAATAGAGCACTGAGGAGCAGGCTTGTTTTGTTCTATGGTTCTGTGTGTAACAAGTACATAGACTGAGGTAGATGGCCTTAATCAACACTTCTTCAGTTGGTGGAGCCATAATGCTGACAGACTGTGTTGAAAGAAAGGGGAAGAGGAGATATGGCAATCTCTTTAATTAAGCTGAACTACATCATAGATAAATTGTTATACAGTACTTAAAACATGTTTGGCTTCTTTAGAAAAAGGTGTCAGTCTCCGTTAAAATGAAGAATATCTTTAGCAAGTAGGAGATTAATTCTACACTCTTTTAGGTTTTCCTAGTGTAATGGGTCATTGAAGCCCCAAATAAAAGCTACAGTAATAGCTATTGTTTGTTGGTTTGCATAGCCTTAACTGCAGTTAAGGATTTCCTTTACAATATCTGTTCAGAGTGTTGCTAAGTTTTGAAAGCAGTCAGACTTCCTATTCACTCTTAATATGAATAGAGCTCCTATTCAGGGCTGTGGAATGCAGATATCTGATCTGTAATAGGCTTATGTAGTTTTAAGGATTATTCATCTGGTGTGGTGCTCTTCTGCATTTACTTGTAAGTCTGAATCTTTTGTGCGAGAATGGCTAAAGCAACACTGGAGTATGTTTTCCTGTAATACTGATTATGTGTTTTTCTCCAATGCATTTTCTTCCGAATTGGACCGTTGTTGCTGTATCTGACATCTGGTGCTGCTCATCACCCACAAACCCTTGGAACATGATTTCTTACATAAAATATGCATCAAACTGGTCTGTGAAATTGTTACCAAACGGTTTGTATTCAAACATGGCCAACTTGAATACATTTTAAAATTCTGCCGTGTTTTACTTGTAAACTACAATACTACAATAATGATACTTTCCCTAAAAACTTTCTCTCTCTTGGGGTTTGGTTGTTTTGGGTTTTTTTGTTTGGTTGGTTTTGTTTTTTCCGTGTTGGTAATAATGTGTTTTCTGGCATATTCTATCTATACTTTCCGGGCTCCATGCTTCACGGTATACTGGATCATGGGTACCACTGCAATGGTTGGTCAAATATACTTTTTAATGGAATAAAAACTGCAATATGGTCCTTAATGTAAACCTGATTATCACAATGGCCAATACCAAATTCATGACTAATGTTAATTCTTGGTCTGGGAATTCTGGTAAAACATCCCTGGTGTAAACATAAATTTGGATGGGGTTGGGGACATGGGGAAAATACCTGTGTTAACATTTTTAATGTAATTTTTTTTTTATGATGCTTGGGTTCATAAAAGAAATCTTTGGAAATGAGGGAGAAACAAGCTGCCAAAGAAGAGAGACAGAAAGAAAAGAAAGTAGAAACAAGTGCAGAGAAATTGCGTAAGCTCTTAAAAGAAGAAAAAAGGTAACTTTGTTATATTACGTGCAGTATGTGCAGATAGAACAATGAAAAATCCATTTCCAAACAGAATGTCCTAGTAAGTACCTAGTAAGCTCCTAGGTGATTTCTCCCTAGGTAAACTGCTTTTCCTCCAGATTTTTTTTTTTGTGGGTAGTGTCCTTTAGTGCATATAGCCTTTAATGAATATACATAGTCATTAAAGGTGAAGTTGTTTAACAAATATTTGACATATTTACAGTGAGGTGAAGTTATTTAAAAAATACTTAGCAATGTGAAGTATTTGCAGAGCATAATGCCATATTAAACCTGGAAAGATTTTGATGATAAATTAGTCATTGGATTTAATTTAATTTTTTTATAAAGAAATCATATTTGAAATTGTCAAGCTCAGTCTCCATTTATGCCTTACAGTCCAGTCTCAGCCAGACTCTGGGAAGTACAGATTTGCTTTCTAGATCTAATTTTTGCCCAATAATGAAGGTTATCTCACAGATTAATTATGTTTTTTAGGTTGAAGAAGAAAAGGAAAGTTTCAACTTCCTCCTCTTCCTCCTCATCATCAAGTGAATCTTCATCAGATGTATCAATTTCTTCCTCCTCCTCTTCCTCTGATCACAAGAAACGTAGGAAAAAGCATCGGAAGAGATCTGAGTCTTCCCGTAGCTCTAAAAAATACTCATCTAGAGCTTCTTTCCATTATAAAGATCAGATTAGGAAAGAGGAGTGTTATTCACCTCCAGCTGATACCTCTGCTTCCTTTCTTAACCAAAGTTTTGAAGTGGAGAAACTGCTGGAAAGGCAGGACAGCTTAGTGTGTCCAAAACCAGAAGTAAAAGAGAAAGACACACACCATTCTTTTTCAAGGACTTCAGGTGATGATGAAGACACTTTTGGAGGTAGGTCTGAAGCTTCAAGAGATTCTTATAGTAGCTCCAGGACACTGCCAAGCCGTAGCAAAACTGAAAATTATGGTGAAACAGATCGATTTTCCTCTAGTTGGAGGGGTTCCTCAGGTTCATACCATAAGTCATATGATAAACCCAGTATGCATTATTTTAGGAGATCAGAAAGGGATGTAGAGGGGAGAAAAGAGCCATTTAAAAAACATGGCTCAGGTCACAAAAGGTATTACATGTCTCCAGCAGGGTCTGACTATTATGGGAGGTCAGCGGGAAAATGCAGATCATATTCTAGCACCAGCTTCCATGAAGGTGATAAAAGCTACGATAGGGATAGGCATGTGTTAAGTAAACATAAAAATGAGAGTGAGTATAAGAGTAGGAGAAGTTCTGAGGAGACTAGTAAAACAAAGGAACCAGATGAGGAAACGTCTTTAGAGGGCACAGAGCAAACAGACAGTGGCATTAAAAGAAACCTGCCGCAGAACTTAATTAACATATTCAATCAAATAGCTGAGTTTGAGAGGGAGAAAGGAAGTAAGCAGAAGAAAGAGTGAAGTACCTAAGAAAACACTGTGCTCATGAGTGTAGTTAAACTTTCCTTTGAGTAGTTCTTGAGGAAATGTAAATAAAGAAAAATAGACAGAATTTGTTCTGTCTTTCAGAATGTCAAAGAATTCTTAAAGATTGTATGGTGAAAAGAGATCTAAGGATATCTTCCATAAAAAGTTATTTCTTAAAATCTAAGTTTCCAATGCTTTTAATTTGGGATGCTCCTGCACAGTATTCTCTGATGGGTTGAAATCCTTTAATACCTGTGGACTGTAGTTAGCTGCAACAAACACACTGCACTTTAATAATAGATGGGGTGTGTTTGGTTTTTCTTGTCCCCTGGGGTACTGTTGACTGTTGGTATTTTGTTATCAAAGTTAAACTACAGAAAGAGGATGACTGAATAAAAGTCATGTGCCATCAATGTACATAGTTCATTTGCTCATTAAATTTTCTTAATTCTTCTTAATTTTGTGTCTTCCTTTTTGTGAGCGTTGCTGGGATGTTTCATACTGGTGTACTGCTCATACATGCTGAGTGTGTGTATATATATATATATATGCACAGAACCTTCAGTGTCTGTGAAGGCAACTGTATTACATTCTTAAATGCATCAAACATCTTTTCTAAGTAATATAAAGAACCCCAAACTGAGGTAGAAGTGTTTTAGAACAGTGTTTATTATTCAAGTGTGGGCCTTTGGGTTTTAGGTTGTGTTTTGGGGTTTTTGGTACGGATTTTTTTTTGCTGTTATGTATTTCCTTTACAAGCTAACTAACTGCTGCATTGCTTGTAGAAAAAGTTGTGCTCAGTTTACAATGACATCTGCAGAGATAATTGGCAGGACATGCTAAGGAGCTAATAATACCTGGTAGACTATGCAATGCTCATTGTACTTCAACTGCGAGTTTTCTAAGTAATGCCATAGTTACAGGTCAGTTGCAGAAAAGGTACTGTGTAATTTTTGAATAGAAAAAGTACAGTTCTGAAATACTAACATAGCTTAGTTAAGATCAAGCTTGACTGTTAATCAAATAGTCATGTCATGTCTCATCTTGAAGCATACAGTTTTTTTTCTGGGTTGTTGCAATGTAATATAAGACTATTTTGTCAGCAGTGAACATACCAGTGTACAAAAATTAATGGCTTTAATCTAACTCTTCTTTTCATTGTAAGGGTGAAGAGGCATCTGGAGGGTTTTAAAGTTCTTTAGCTCTCAAACAGCAAAATGAGAGAGTAATGTAAAGGTTAATTTATTACATAAAACATGCTTAACATTTCTCCTAGATAATTTATTGCATACCGTAGAATAAAGATAAAACATATATTTCTGATAGAAATTAATGCTAAGATTGCCAGTATACAGTCATAGAAAAGTTGAATTACAGATTAATCAATTAAGAAGCCTTAAGTAGTCTGAAGCCTTTACTATGACCTTCAAAAGATTACTTAAGACTTTATTTTGCCTTTACAAGTACCAGAGGTGCTAGCTCTGCTGGATGGCTGGGTACCAACAGCAGCTGCTTCTGCCAAAGAGTCAATAGGCAAGCACAGATCTATGACTTTGAGAGATGAAGTCTGACTAGTGCCTGAACTTGTGCTTCTGGAGGATCTGAAACAAACATTTACCCATCAGTGTCCAGAAATCCCCACATCTCAAACAGAGCTTCTAATGGTAAATTACAACAAAGCCACCCAACAGCAGTGTTTACCCCAGGCAAGATCCCCAACCAAGAATCTCTGTAGACACCAGAACTAATTGCTTAAGTACCCTGTGAGAATGCTAGATCATAACCAGTTCAGCATGTTACATGCACTGTTATTTGTATAGATGTTGAATAGGGGAAAATGGTATTGGTAAAAGCATACATGTCCATCTTTGCTATTTAATTAGGAAAGGGAGCTTACACTAGAAAGTGCAAAATGTGGCTGGAGCTCAAACTTGTGCTTTATCATGTGAAACAATTTTTTAATTAGAGCACAGTTAACAAAAGTAAACGTAATTATTTTGTAATTACTATTTGAAACTGGTGGATGCTGAAGTAAACAACTGTGTGCTAGAAAAATAAGGAGAAAGTTTTTATAGAGTGCTCAGAAAGTAGAAAATTGAGAAGGTCTTAAGGAGTGGGGAATTCTGTCATTTAGACACTAGTTCAGCCGGGTTAAACTTGAATTTACATGAAAACCCAAACAAAAACCCCACTGCTGGCACTTACCGGATAGAAGCTAGCGAGCTTTGTGAAGATGGTGATTGAGAACCTTGACTAGCACCAGCAGAAGCAATTGTAGGAAGCTCTAAATTGGACTAAAAAAATAGGAAAAAAAAAAAAAGTTGACATAATGTTTGTATGATAAGCATGGGTATACCAGTAGGGTTTATAATCCTCATTTGAAGAGATGTTATAAGCAGATGAGCACTTTCTCCTGTTTTACTGTTAAATATAGTTTATTGTTGACTTTTAAGAGCTGCCCTTGAAAGACACTCATCATCAGTTCAGTAGAGCTATCACTCAAGATCTCGGTGTCAGTTAACAGGAAAGCTCACCTGATGGAAGTATATTTGAAAGGGTGTGGTTAAATCAGGATTTGCTTCTAGAAGACTGGCTAACAATTTGTCAATGGTTCTGTTGAAGCTTTTCAGTTCACGAAGATTGATGTCTTTTTCTTCCTGTGTTTCTGTTTTAGTTTTCTTCTGCAACTGAATTTCCCTGGATAGCCTGGAACACTTTTAACAAATATTTTTAAAGTTTTGCTATTGTGAAAATGCAACACTTTTTCAGAAGCCCAAGTTTAAATTCTGTGGGTTTAACTGTACTTAGGTCTATCACTGTAGTTAGAAGCTGTCATTAATGACTATACAAACCTGTTTTATAACTCTTTCAAGTTTCGGCTTTTGTTCTTCTATGTCTTTGTTCAGTTGCAAAACAAGAGCTTGTTTTTCCTTCTTTTGCTCCTGGAAGAGGGCCTCCTGCTTCAGTACCATATCAAGATTTTTTTCCATGGTCTGCAAATTCATGTGAACAGTAGTTTGAGTTTATAAAGCAGTGTCATACACTCTCACTTTTTGTATTACTTTGTACTGGTACCAGCACTTACACTACTTGTTTCTAAATGTAGCCCAAGCAGTACTAAGGATAACTCGAGAATTTCTACCTGTCAGACTTCAGTGAGTAAATACTTGTATCCAAGAGACTACCAGGGAATTTACATATCTTTACAGAAAAGAATCGCACAGTACCACCTTACCATGAATGAATAACATCCACCTCGAAAGAACAGCTCTATGTCTTTATTTTATGAAGGAAAAAAAAAAAAAAAAGGAGAGGGGAATGGAAATAATAAAGTAATAGAAAATAAAGAAAAATAAAATGAAAAAAGGAAAAGTTATGTCTTAACACACCTCATTATATCCTAGGACTTACTCCCTGCTGAAGATGTGTCCTCTTTAAGAGATTTTATTTCTTAAGTAAGGTGTATGTCCTATGGTGGTATAATAAGCAATAAGAATGTTGATGTGCAGCCACTGATTCAGGAAGTAGAGAGAAGACTGAAGTTAGAATAACCATGTGGGGTATCTCAAGGTGCCTTTGATCTCATGTGCCTTAGAAAATTGTAACTAAAATGTCACACATCAAAGTTAAGCGTTGTTCTTTTTTATAGGACAAGTGGGCTTTTGGGTAACAAGGGGAGACAAGAGTAAGTGCTTTATGTGGAGCTGGAGCACAAGCTGTCCTTTACCTGAATCTAATGCTCAGCCTCCTAAGTTAAGACCTAGCTAGCTTTCCAAAGCTAAATTAATTCTGTTTAAACTGAAGCATCTTAAATGCTGATAAACCAGAGTGTGTTCTCCTAGAAAAATCCTGGGACATGGATGCCAGAGGACACAAGGTGTGTGAATTTGAATCTCTGCAGTACTGGACAGGATGATGCAATATAGTGGTGTGTGCTACACAAAGATAGAACTGCTTTCTTGGATGCCAGAACAGAACACTATCAGCATTTATCTGGGATTTTGCAACTTCCAGCTGTATGTGAATAAAAAGTCTTAAGTTACATTGTGATTAAATAAGCACTCTGTTTTTGAAGGAAGAGGTAGAACCTTCTTAAAAAATCGTATCCATTCATACAGAGTGTAGAATATAAAAGAACAGGCAAAAAATTGTCCTACAATATTCTGTTGTTTCAATAGGATAGCTGGCATGGATTTAGCTACATGCTGCAGCCTTATCTAAGTGGAACTTCTACTTGTATTTTACCTGGAGTTTTTCCTTAAGTTCCTTGATCTGTCTTCGTTTGTATCTGTGTTTTTCATCGGCAGCCCTTTTCTCCTCCTCTAGTTTCAATTTTTCCTCATATTCCTCACCTGTGATTCCAAGCAACAAGGCAATATTATTGCTGGACAAGCTGTGTATACAGTTTTATTTCACTTTAAATTAAGATACACTCTAACTGCATCACCGAACATTACTATGTTAGTGTTGGTAGTATTGCAGAAACCTGTAAGGGTTTTTTAAATACTCTACTACTAATTCCAAATCATTGTGGAAAAGTAACTGGCTTCATGAGAATGGGTTAAGAACTATGTTTCTGGAGCCAGCAGAGGGCACAAAAGTTAAAGAATTAAGCATTCTCAAGAATTAAGTTTATGTAATTCCTCATAGTGATGCTTTTTACACACTAAACAAAGGAAGTTCCACTGACAGCAAGATTATGAATTCTAAATGGCATAAAAAACAGATGAGGATATTTTAAAGAATTCTGAGGATTTTCCAATATGCAGAAACTTGGAGTTAGGTAGTCTTTATTTTAAAACCTGCTGAACACTACACTAAAATGATGCAGTTTAAGTTTTACTCTTCTGATTTTCCCACATGACAGGTTACTGTTTTTTCCACACCCTTCCCTGTGAAAAACCAGAGGCAGTGATGGTGTAGCTAAGGGATCGGTCTTCATTGCTAGATAGAGCACGCATACTTAAGCTGTCCATATAATTACTCTGGGTACAGTTCTGTGGACAAGCTGGCTCAGTCTACTACAGAAAGGCAAGCAGTGGCACAGCTTCTCCGGCGTCTGTAATTTGAATTAGTAGCTGTGTGTGATGCAGCACTACAGAGAAAGTAGTGCCTTTTGTGCTGTGCAAAGTTTTATCCACTAGACCTGTGTATTTCAAGCAGGCACTTCTCCCAAGTAATGACTTGCCCCCACCCCACCAGTAGTCATTGTTATGCTTTGTCTCTTCTGACTGTTCCAAATCATGACTATTCACAAAATTTATACAGGCTTAGATTTTCACATAAATTGGATAGAAGAATGTAAATATTAGTTAATCACACCTTGCTGCACTTTCTTCTGAACTATTCACAATAGTGTGTGAATTATATTCCCTTTTGCTACTATCAGTTTAGTCTCTCTATGATTCATTCTTTTGTGCCATGGAATTTCTCTACTATATACCATTGCCTGTAACTC